AGACTACGTAATGCTCGTCAGAGACTCAGAGAATGATGGCTCAGTTTTAGCTTCTTCTTGTTTTCTCTTTCCATTTTTAGTAATTTGTAATTTTTCGCAGGAGTGTTTTGAGCAGAATGAGCTCAACAGCCCCATCACCAAAATGCCCAAAATTTGTTCCTGTGGAAGAGAGTACCATCCATTCAATAAGTAAACCTGATGGTATTTACTTATGCTCTTAATTTGTTTATATCTGATTATTTTTGGGTTTGTTTCTTTTGGCCATTGTGTTTTATGGTGCAAAAGATATTCAGTAAGCATGAATTCTATGATGTGATATTGCAGGTATCAGGTTTAGTCTTGTGTCGTATAACATTTTGGCTCAGGTATGGCTATGGCATTCACTCCTCTCACTTAATTTCCCATTTTGTGTCCAATTCATTTTGTTATTGTTTGTTCCTTTTGGTACTTGTCATATGAATTTGTATTCGACGATCCATTGTGTCACACAAAGAACTGGATAATGAGAATAATTATCTTTATTTAACTAAATGGAAGTTACGTATAACAAAACAACTGAATTCAGCTCTTCTATTTAGCTTTCTATGACGACCTGTTCCTCCATGGTTTACCCTATAAACAAATAACATTTGCTTCACAGTACTAGAGAGGTAGGAAAACTGAAAATTTAGAATTTTCTCATTCCCAAGTCAGCTCTTATTTTTATTTTTATTCTGTAACTTTCTATGTTCTAATTTTATCAGCAATGGAATGAATGCGAACAAATGGTATTGATTGTATGCAATGTTGTGTGTGTGTGGGACATAATTTATTTCTTTTTGGTGATGATTGGGGCAGAAGGCCCAAATGGAAAGAAAATATTGAGCCGGAAAACTTAACTAACTTAACTAATTATGCTTCTGGATTCAGTAATCTCAAAATAATCTTCCACTAAGAATGGAACATAGATAGGCCGGGGCCCAGTAAACTCATAATAGCCCAAATTTATTTTTACCATGATATAAATTGTAGTGTTGGCTCTATTATGTATGTCATAGTGCATTTGTTTGACAAACTTTGATGAATATGTTATGTTCTCATTATTCCCTGTCAAAATGATATGTTTATGTTTTATTGTAAATTTCATTTCATTTTCTCGTCCTTGGTTCTAGTAATTCTCTTATCCTGTCTTACGGCATAATTTGTTTTTGATGCGGAAACACCCTACAGATTCCATGTTGGGAATTAAAATCCCCTGTGAATGTTAACCGTCATATTTTGATTTCTGTTCTCTTATTTTGATCATTTAAGTTTAACAATTTCGTACTTATTTTTTGTATGTGTAGGTATATGTAAAGAGTTCCTTGTTTCCACACTCTCCATCCCCTTCTCTGAGGTAGAAATC